CAATTTTAAAGATAAGGACTGTTAGTAATACTTGAATGAAGGTCTAGAGCTCATGGACATCACAACACATTTTTTCCTTCCTTGAGATGCAAGGACTTTACTGCTTTTACCTTCTGTTTCTGAAAGCTAAAGTTCTAGACTTCAATCCGATCCTGATATTTGATATACAGCCAGGTATTTTTTTTTATAACTAATTGATTTTTTTTCCCCATTGTACTGTAAATAAGTGAACTGCATCAACACACTTTGATTCTGTATGTGAATTTGCTTCCACTTGTTATTTGTCCAGCATTTCTCTTGCTTCATGTTTTCCAAATTGTCTAGCAACGTTTTGCCAAAACCAAACAGATTCATAAGACTAAAGATGGGAAAGATCACAACAGCATCAATAGGCTTCTGAGCATAAGGGTATATGGGTACAAAAGAGAGCCATTCTACTAACAACAGTAGGTGCAGTGGCTGTCTTTTGCTTGCTTTTTGTGCAATGCTGCGTTGAAAAACTGAAGCAAAACTTCACACAAGGATCTTTCCAGAGAATGTTTTAGTTTAAAATGGAATTATGTATAAATAGCTCCTGACTTCATGTTTGTGCATTTTAAGGTTTTTGCATTCTATTTTGTGATGAAATGACACATGAAAAAACTGAAAGTTTGGATGTCACTCCTGCTGTGAAAAGACACAAAAGGAAAACAAAATTGCAGTGATAATTCCTAAAATGACATTTTAGGAATCTCATATTTTATGAGATCAGACTGCACAGCTGACTGCTCAATATATATGTCTGGTGTCCAAGAACAAACAATACCCCAGGAAGAACAAAAAACTGCAAGATGAAATAAGTCTGATGAATAATGGCATCACATTCTAGGTTGGGCAGATTAAAATACATTTCTTTGGATCATTTTGGAACCTGGATGTCTAAAACCAGATCAGGACTACTACAGTGATGACAAAACATGGGAAAAGGCGTATACGGATATGGTGTTCTTGAGTATATACCAAATGAAGACATAATTCTCAGTCTCAAGAAGCATTGCATTCCAGGCATAACTCGAAATTCCTCATCTATTTTAAAATGGAAAGCACACCAACACAAGTTAAAAAGAATGATCTTGAATTACTAGTACGCCTTTATCGGTGAATTTTTAGTATTTTTAGTGAAAACATTGTCTGTCTGGTCAGCATCAAGCACGAGGCAGACAAAGTCTCCTTAAACAACTGACTGAAGCAGCTATGTGGTAAAGAGACAGCTATTCCCAACTGGGAATTAGTGGAGATCTAAAATAAAGCTAAAAGGACAGGATATGCCCATCAAATTGGTTGAATTATGCAAATGTTGCTCGATATCTGCTGGAAGTGTTTGTTAACAAATTCACAATAATATTGAAAATGTCAGAGTTAATTTGAGGGCTTGTTTTGGTTCCCTCAAGTTGCCACGAAAATCTGACCAGCATTTTATTGCACAGTATGAGTCAATATAGCTCAGTAGGCATATTTCATATCATGCACATTTGAATAGGATACCAATATATACATATATATACATATATATATATATACACATATATATACATATATATATATATACACATATATATACATATATATATATATACACA